TCACATATAACATTTAAGACTTGCCCGCAAAATTTGGTGTCAATCTGAGTAGCTTAAGGGCGTTTTGGCCCGTTAGAGGAAAATTAAGAACTTGAAGTTCATAAGTTTGATTCAATTGGTTTTAGGGGGTGATTCTTAGATTTAGCGTTGTTTCGGGCGTCCCGAAGGCTCGAGTAGGTCCGTTTTGTGATTTCAAACTTGTCGGTATATTCGGGCGGGGCCGGGAGCCCCGAGCGTCAATCGGACGGGGCTCGAGTGAAGTTGAAATTTTTGAGAAGTGCTGAAGCCGCTGCTTCTGTCATAACCGCACCTGCGGTTGGTGGACCGCATGTGCGAGACCGCAAATGCGGTCCATCTATCGCAGAGGCCTAGGGATGGCCAGGCCAAACCGCAGAAGCGGCATCAAGGCCGCAGATGCGGTTCCAGCCGCTTGGCTTGTTTTCGCAGATGCGGTCTACTCCTTGTAGAAGCGGGACCGTAGATGCGGTCCCTTGACCGCAGATGCAGAAATCGCTGAAGCAATGAGCTTCATTTAATACGGGTTCTAAGCCATTTTTACCACTTTTCACTCCTCCATTGGAGATTATGGGAGCTTTTGAGAGAAGATTTCCACCTAGCATCTTGAGGTAAGTTATTCCCGCTAATTCTTGGTTTAGTAATTGTGTCTTAGGTAGATTAAACACTAGAACTTAGGTAAAATCAAATGGTTAGAGCAAAACCTAGGGTTTTGATAAAAGTTAAGCTTAACCACGAAATTTGTTATGAAATGAATTAGAAATCATATATTATTGATCCTTAGGTTGTAGAGAACAACTTTCCTTGAAAAATCTCAGAATCCGGGCACGTGGGCCCGAGGTCAGATTTTAGGAAATTGTGTTTAAGGGTGGGAAATTGCTTAAATAGTTATTATATGATCTTGTAAGTTTGTATTGACTAGTTCCTACCACATTTATCTAGTTTTGAATCGTTCGGCTCCAAATTGAGGGTTCGGGCTCATTCTTGGTATTCGAAGTGCACTTTGGAGCGAGGTGAGACTCCTTTCTAACCTTGTAAGAGGGAATTGTCCCCATAGGTGTAATAATTGAATTAATTGATACTATATGCGGGGGCTACGTACGCACTAGGTAACGAGAGTCCGTGCGTAGCTACTATTATGTTAAGTCCGGGTCGTCTAGGACCCAAAAGCATGCTCTATGTGATATTCTTGTAACTCGATGATAAATTCGGATATGTATAAATCATGTTGAGTAGGGTAAATGAGACTAGTAAGAGGAACCTTATCTTGCTTGACCTTTAAAAGAGAATTTGGATATTCCTGTGAATAACTACTCCTCGGATGTGCATTATTGTCTGCTTGTTGATAAGTTTATTTATATTTGACCGCGTCGCACGTGTAATTCGCGAGCGGGGTAATAGATGCATCTATGGTTCGTGTCGTTCGACCCTCGGCAGTGCACAATTTACTTTCATGTTGGATCGGGACGTACGTCCCTCTGTGTTGCTTGCGCATGTTTTACTTAGTATTCCTGTGGACTGAACTTGTACATGCCTTGAGATGTAATTGGTTACTTATTATATTACCTGGATAAAGGATTGATTCTCCTTGCCTCAAAAATGCTACTTTATAGTGTTATCCATGCTTAGCATAACTTCATTCACATATTATTTGACCCTAGTAAATATCAAGTCGACCTCTCGTCTCTACTTCTTCGAGATTAGATGGGATACTTATTGGGTACATATTGTATATGTACTCATACTACACTTCTGTACTTAATTGTACAGGTTCTGAGGCAGGTGTCTCTGGCTATTAGACTGGGGCGTATCCCTGAGCGGATTTCGAGACTTCCACGGTGAGCTGCTCCCCTTCTGATGCTGTTCAGCAGCCTGGAGGAGTCTTTCTTATGTATTTTGTTGTCTATTATATTCGGACAGTAGGGTAGTGTGATTCTTTTGTATATTCTACTAGTTGCCCATAGCTTGTGATACCAGGTCTTGGCACACACATTAGTAGACTATTATTTTGGATTTGTATTATCATCATTATTGGCTTTACTGATCCTTTCTGATTTTACTTCAACTTAAGGAATCATTGCAACTATTTTGGGTAAAAGTAAATGAGAATTTATTTAGTATTTTCCGCGTTGGCTTGCCCGGCAACGGTGTTGGGCGCCATCATGACCTATTATGGAAATGGATCGTGACAACATGGTATCAGAGCACTAGGTTCACGTAGGTCTCACAGTCATGGAAAAACCTAATAGAGTCTTGCGGATAGGTACGGAGACGTCTGTATTTATCTTTGAGAGGCTATAGGGTGTTATGAAAAAACTACTCTTTATTCATTTCCTATCGTGCAGTGGTTGGTATACTAAATTTTCCTCTTCTATTCTCTCACAGATGGTGAGGACACGCACGGCTGATGTTCCAGACTCGGGCGGAGCTGCTCCCCCCATTGCTAGAGGCCGAGGCAGAGGCCGGGGGAGGGCACCCGCCCGAGGTAGGGGATGAGGGTGTCCCAGAGTTATCCCAGTAGTACCACCAGCAGATCCCGTGGGGGATCCTATCATCGAGGAGCAGGGCGAGGTGCCCGCAGCTGAGCCCACCCCGGCGGACTTTATGACAGCACCGGGATTCCAGGAGGTCATGGGTATTATGCTGCGGTTCATGGATTCTATGACTCAGGCTGGTTTATTTCCAGCAGATCCAGCTACATCACAGGCGGGAGGGGGAGCACATACCCTTACTGCTCAGGCTCCTGGACATGTAGTTGCAGTGTATCAGACTCCGGGGGCACTACCCGCAGATGGGGCCCAACCAGTTGCTGCAGCGGCGCCCCAGCTCAAACCGACTGCGGATGGTGATCCGCAGAAGTTATTAGATAGATGGACTAGACTTCACCCTCCTATCTTCGGGGATGAGCATCATGAGGATGCCCAGGATTTCATTGATAGGTGCAGGGACAGACTGCACAACATGAGGATATTGGAGTCACATGGAGTTGACTTCACTACCTTTCAGTTGGAGGGCAGGGTCCGCAGGTGGTGGCAGTCCTATGTTCTTGGCAGGCCAGCAATTTCTCCTCCCCTCACTTGGGGTCAGTTCACCCAGTTATTCTTGGATAGGTATATTCCACCCTCTGAGAAGGAAGAGCTACGGCATCAGTTTGAGCATCTTGAGTAGGGTCAGATGTCTGTGACCGATTATGAGGCGAGGTTCTCTGAGTTGTCTCGTCATGCACTCATGATACTTCCTACAGATGCAGAGAGAGTGCAGAGATTTGTTGCAGGATTGCATCCCGGTATTCGAGCTAGCATGGCCCAGGAGGTGGAGATAGGTACTGAGTTATCAGCTAGTGGTGGAGATTGCTCGCAAGATTGAGGGGTATCGCCTGAGGGGTAGAGAGAAGATTTAGCTAGACAAGAGGGCCCGATTTTCGGGAGAGTTCAGAGGTGCCCCAGCTAGGGGTAGAGGTCACTTCGGGAGGGGCCAGCCCAGCAGACCCCCATATTCAGCACCACCACCCCCTCCCCGAGGTGCTCTAGTGAGACCTTATTTCAGTGCGATGCCGGAGAGTTCTTACATCCCGCCAGCTATTCAGGGTTCCTCCGGCGGGTATTCTGGTCATCAGGATTCTTCCGGTGCCCACTTCAGTGCCGTGCCAGAGAGTTCATATCGCCCACCAGCCATCCAGGGTTCTTCCAGTGGGTATTCGGGTCAGCAGGCTCAGACTTCAGAGCAGCAGGCTATGGTATCGAGAGTGTGCTACGAGTGTGGAGATCCGGGTCACCTGAAGAGGACCTCAGGCTTCGGGGCAAGGCAGTACAGCAGGGTCAGCAGCCTATAACTTCAGCACCGGCTGCCCAGCCACCTAGGGGTGGAGGGCAGACTGGTAAGAGCCGTCCTAGAGGTGGAGGCCAGGCAGGGAGAGGTCAGCCAGCTATTGTTCAGTCAGGCGGAGGCCAGCCAGCCGGCGCCCCAGCCAGATTCTATGCCCTTCCGGCTAGGCCAAATGCATTGGCCTCAAATGCCGTCATCACAGGTATTATTTTCGTTTGCGACAGAGGTGCTTCGGTGTTGTTTGATCCAGGGTCTACTTATTCATATGTATCGTCTCAGTTTGCTCGTTTCCTGGTTATTTCTCCTGAGCCCTTGGGCACTCCTGTTCATGTGTCTACTCCTGTGGGCGATTCTGTGGTTGTGGGTCGGATCTACCGGTCATGTGTCGTCACATTCTGTGGTTTTGAGACTAGAGCGGACCTCCTGTTGCTTGATATGATCAATTTTTAGGTCATCCTGGGCATGGATTGGTTATCTCCGTATCACGCCGTCCTAGATTGCCATGCCAAGACTGTTACTTTAGCGATGCCAGGGTCACCAGGGTTTGAATGGAAGGGTTCCACTATTGATACATCTAGCCGGGTTATCTCTTTCCTGAAGGCTCGGCAGATGGTTGAGAAGGGGTGTTTGGCGTATTTGGCTTATGTTCGGGACACCACCGCAGAGTCTCCTACGATTGATTAGGTCCCAATAGTTCGAGAGTTCGCCGATGTGTTTCCTTCTGATCTTCCTGGCATGCCACCGGATCGTGATATTGATTTCTGTATTGATTTGGCTCCAGGCACCCAGCCTATATCTATTCCACCGTACCGTATGGCTCCTAAAGAGCTGAAGGAGTTGAAGGAGCAGGTTGAGGAGTTATTAGAAAAAGGGTTTGTTAGGCCCAGTGTATCGCCTTGGGTGCACCGGTGTTATTTGTGAAGAAGCACTACAACAAAAAAGGCTTTTAATGGCAATAAGTTAATAGTCGCTAATTTATTCCATATAGGCCAATGTTAGCAGCAATTGAACAATTGCCGAGAATAAACACTTATTACTGGCAATTAAGAAAAATTGCCACTGAAGCTTGCGTCTTTTAAGAAGTCCAAGAGCGGCATTCTTTTTTCACACTCCCTCCAAATTATTTTTTATTTTCCTCCTTCATTTTTGTATTTTTTTTCATCAAGAACCTAGAGGAATGAAAAATTAAAATTAATTGGAACCCTAACACCCAAGATTCATCTCTATGTTCAGTTGGATCGATTACTCTGGTACGCCATCATCAACTTCATCCTCTTTTTCTTTTGATTGCTACTAGATAAAGATCCATTATTTTCCTAATAAATTAATGAAGAACATCAAAATAGTTTGAGTCTCTCTTGTTGTTGCATAGCTGTTGTACTTCTTCTTATTCATCGTCACTCGTTAATGAGATAGGAACCGCTAGGCACGCTTTTTCCTTTGAAATTGAAGAAGCCAAAATTGTGCCTACGAGCTCAAGGTACCTTCTAATCTCTTTATTTATGTATTCTGATAAATTGCAAATACCTATTAGGGATTTTTTTTCAAATAATTTTTTGCATCAGTTGCTTATTATTATTAATTTCTAGAGAATTTATTTTTATTTTATTTTATAGTCATGTTCTTTTGGCTGTTGAAATTCTATCTCCGGAGAATGAAATTTAATCTCTGAATACTGTAAATCCGAATAGTAATACCAAATCTTGAGAAACTGCAGGTAAAAGAAGTAGTAAGAAAGAAATCTTCAAAATATTTGTGGATACAAAGAACTTTGGATATGTAGTTGCTCGGAATAGTCCAATTTTGATTGTTGCTAACTAAATATACAACTAAAAGAAATGAGAAAAGATAAATAAGTTATTTTAATCCGATAAGTACCGAAAGAATCGAATACGCAGACCAAAAAGCTAGTGTTGATCCCTTAAGTAATATTACTCTAGCCATGTGAATCGGGCTATAATTTTCAATTTGCTCTTTTGATGAATTATCTACTAAAACTACTTTCTTCAAACAAGATGTTATTGAATAGTTTCATATGAATTCTTTATCTTAGGGGATAAAACAAATGAAAACCCAAAAGGCGCCATGCTTTTATCTATAACTTATCAAGAGGTTTTTGGATAGATGTATTAGCATTAGGTTCAATTTTTTTTATTACCCCTCTATTATATATGAATATTCTAGAAGTCAGGTATGCACAAATGTATTTTGTTCTAATTGGCTTTCTAGATTAATGTAGCTCTCAAGAGAGTACGATTTGAAAATAGTGAGAATTTTATTATCGTGATCAGTGATATGCTGCTCTGTTTCCCTTCTTGCACAAATAGATCAGAAACTATTACAAGGTACTAGGGAAGCCAAATGTAGTACAGTGCAAAAGCTAAATACTAATCCTATTCTACTAGATTTTTGCTGAACTTGGAAACTTAAAAGATTTATTTTCTATCCACAATGCCGCTGTTGCAGTTGTTGGATCAACAAAGAGTTTGGTGGAGATTTTCTTAAGCCCACATTGGAGGCAAGTTTATACATTATAATATATTTACTTGTTTCCTAATGTATTGATATATACTAGGTTCTCGAGGCAAAAAGCAGCCATGCACAAGCGACATAAACACCATGAATGCCATTTCAAAGTAAAGATTCCTTTTCTTTTTTCATATTTGATTGTATGTTTCTTATCTCCATTCTGCAACTTGCTATCTTTGCAATATCCATGGTATTTGTTAGATCCTTATTTTCAGGCATGTTGCTAGTTTGTTAGTATAGCAATATTAACAAATTCTCATAATTCTAGATTATATTAAACTTCTAAATTCTTTAATGTGATTGGAGATGTGGTATAATATGTTGGTGAATGAAATCTAAGTTGCGTATTTTCCTCTTCTTTTCTTTATTCACTTTCATTTACATTTCATTTGTGCCTTGTTTTTCATTCTATTATTCATTTTTGTCCTTCTTGAGTTTGATCAGTAGCATTTGCAAAATTGAGTTTGTCCGGCCTTCCCCTAGAGATGTGAACAAACTTTTTGGGTAATTAATTTCAAATAGTTATTCCTCCCTCGATGATATATTCGTACATGTGTATTATATTGGATATTGTCCTTTTATCTTCCGGTTCTTGAATTCAATTGATCGGATTCATTGGTGTATCAAAATATATGGGAATGTATATTTTGATTCTAGTTATGAAGATTACGAATGGTCCAGTACCCAAGGTGAGAAAGATCAAAGGTGCCAAAGTAGCTATTGTTTCTCCTAGTTCGACTCCAATAGATATCAAGTACCAAAGCGTAAAGCAGAATGGGAGTGGACATGCTTCTGATAGAGGACTCTATGAGAAACTCAAAGTTGGATGCACAGACACCTCTGAACCTCATTCAAGTGGTAAAAAGAAAACATATGGGGAAGCTGCTATTAAGGTATTTAAGTGCTTTACTTGCTTCCAACTTTTTATATATTCTATCAGTGTCTATGATTCTAGTGACATCTTACTTTGCCTTGAAATTAAGAATAATTTCTACTGAAAAAGTAGGAGGTCATTTTTATGTCATCCTTGAACAATTTGTATACAATGGGGATCATCTACTACCTCCCTAGTTAAGTTTTAAGTAAAACTTATTTAAATTACTCTTTAATTGTCCCAAAGAAAGAAAGCAAAATTTGATAGTATTTGTACTTATCTAATATGGAAATGTCTTCTGAAAGAAAAGATTTCGAAAGGTCGAATAAGAAAAGTTGTATAGAAATTATCAGTATTTATTTACCAGCAAACATAAAAAATTTATACATCAAACATTTCATTCTATTGACCGAAAATAAGTTAATTAATGAAGTATTAAAAAACCAAGTAATGTCATTTGTCCTATAGGTTGGGCAACTAAAAAACATAAATTGTATTATATTGTTAGCATGGTCCAGATTCAGTTTAGATTTTTACCATTTCATGTAGTTGCAGGGGAATGGCGACATGAACAAGTGGTCTTGTACGTCTAAAGTACAAAAGTAAGTAGTTTGTGAAAAATTAAGTTAAAAGAGCTACTTGTATTGTTAGGATCCTTAAATATCGACCTTCTGCTATTAATTGAAATTTTTTTTGAGGTTTTTTATTTTTTCCCTTTGTGTTGGCTTAAAATTCTGTATGCATAACATATAAGTGAATGAGGAACATATCATTTGACAGTTGACACTCACCAAACTCTTCAGCACATGCTTTGTTGCTAAATTCCAGAAGTTTCTCTGGTAGTGCTTAAAGCAATTTTATGGTTACCGGGTTTAAAGTAATTGTGCAATTATCACATAGTCATAGCTTCCGCTACAACAAAAGAAATACTAATTTCAAACTTTGATTTGTTTCATGTAAAGTTACTGCATTATGCAAGGCATATAGCTTTGGAGACTAGTGGCGAGGTATATATGGTATGGGAAGCCAGACAACTATTCTTTGAACAGTAAGACAGAGATTAAGTAGTTGTTCAGATAATCTGACATGTGGAAGATTTCATCATGATCAAGAGTTGGAAAGACTTTAATGGCACCATTTATTGTATAGTATTGTAGCAATTTGATAATGCCAGTTAGCAGACGGGAAATCACACTAGTTATTAGATTCAAATAGTTTACCTTTTGGATATGTTGTTGATACTTTAAAACTATGGATTAGTATATTTTGTTGTGGATTTAATGAAGTGTATTAAACTTTTTGAAAAAAAATCTTATTCTTATTATAGTTGAATTTGAATCTGCATAATGTGCATTATAAGTCATAAAAGGAATATTTCTTAATTCTTACTAGCAATAAGAAAGTTCTTTAAAAAGGCAATTAGATGGATTTTTACTGCCTATAACAAAAGCTTTTAAATACATAAACAAAGACCAATTCGTAGATAGTTTTAGCGACAATTATATCTATCGCTAAAAGAGCACTTTTTACTGGCAATTGAGTAGGTCTTTATTGGCAATAACAAAAGCCATAAAATGTATGATGTTGAATATCATAGGGGAGTTCCCGTGGCCATTTTAATTACCGGTAAATAATTACCGCTAAAACTCAAGTCTTTACCGGCACTTCGTGCAATGGCCGCTAAATCCTTTAGCGACGCTAGCAATACCAGCCAAAGTCTAATTGCTGGTAAATGTTTTAACGTCAATTTTTATTGCCGCTAAAGAGCATATTAATTGCCGCTAATAGACTTTTTTGTAGTAGTGAAGAAGGATGGGACTATGCGGATGTGCATTGATTACCGCCAGTTGAACAAAGTCACTATCAAGAACAAGTATCCGTTGCCTCGTATCGATGATCTGTTCGACCAGTTGCAGGTTGCTAGGGTGTTCTCTAAGATCGACTTGAGGTCGGGTTACCATCAGTTGAAGATTCGGGACTCGGATGTCCCGAAGACTGCATTCCGGACCAGATATGGCCATTATGAGTTTCTGGTGATGTCCTTTGGCTTGACTTATGCGCCAGCGGCATTTATGGACTTGATGAACAGAGTGTTCAGGCCTTATATTGATTCTTTCGTCATCGTCTTCATTGACGACATCTTGATATACTCGCGTAGCCTTGGGGAGCACGAGCAGCATCTGAGAGTAGTTCTTCAGACCTTGCGAGAGCAGAAGCTATATGCTAAGTTTTCCAAGTGTAAGTTTTGGCTAGAGTCAGTGGCATTCTTGGGACATATTGTGTCAGGAGAGGGTATTAAGGTGGATCCCAAGAAGATTGAGGCAGTTCAGAGTTGGCCACGTCCTACCTCAATGACCGAGATCAGGAGTTTCCTGGGGCTAGCAGGTTATTACAAGCGATTCGTGCAGGGCTTTTCATCTATTGCATCACCTTTCACTAGATTGACCCAGAAGGGTGTTCCTTTCCGTTGGTCCGATGATTGTGAGGAGAGCTTCCAGAAGCTCAAGACAGCTTTGACTATAGCACCAGTTCTTGTGTTGCCTTCCGGTTCAGGGATGTATACGGTATATTGCGATGCTCCGCGCGTTGGATTGGGGTGTGTATTGATGCAGGAGGGGCGAGTTATTGCCTATGCTTCGCGCCAGCTGAAGATTCATGAGAAAAATTATCCAGTGCACGATCTAGAGTTGGCCGCGATTGTTCATGCCCTTAAGATATGGAGGCATTATCTGTATGGGGTGTCATGTGAGGTTTACACTGATCATCGCAGCTTACAGCATTTGTTCAAGCAGAGGGATCTTAATTTGAGGCAGCGCAGGTGGCATGAGTTACTGAAGGATTATGACATCACCATTCTTTATCATCCGGGCAAGGCAAACGTGGTCGCGGATGCCTTAAACAGAAAGGCAGAGAGCATGGGTAGCTTGGCATTCATTCCAGCAGAGGAGAGGCCACTAGCTTTGGACATTCAGTCCTTGTCTAACAGACTTGTGAGGTTGGACATTTCGGAGCCCAGCCGGGTTCTTGCGTGTGTGGTTGCTCAGTCTTCATTAATGGGGTAGATAAAGACCCGGCAGTTTGATGATCCACATCTGGCTATTCTCAGAGAGACGGTGCTTCAGGGAGGTGCCAAGGAGGTTTCTATTGGCGAGGATGGTATTTTGCGGCTCCAGAGTCGTCTATGTGTTCCTAATGTTGATGGTCTGAGGGGGAGGATACTAGAGGAGGCACACAGTTCACGGTATTCCATCCACCCGTGAGCTACGAAGATGTATCGTGACTTGAGGCAACATTATTGGTGGCGGAGGATGAAGAAAGATATAGTGGAGTATGTGGCTAGGTGTTTGAATTGCCAGCAGGTCAAGTATGAGCATCAGAGGCCGGGTGGCCTACTTCAGCAGATGCCTATACCAGAGTGGAAGTGGGAGCGCATTACCATGGATTTCGTAGTTGGGTTGCCGCGAACTTTGCGGAAGTTTGATTCAGTATGGGTCATTGTTGATAGGTTGACCAAGTCGGCCCACTTTATTCCAGTAGAGACTACTTATACGGCAGAGAGGTATGCTCAGAGTTACATTCGGGAGATAGTCCGGTTGCACGTGTGCATATTTCCATCATATCAGACAGAGGCCCTAAGTTCACTTCCCATTTTTGGAGAGCTGTTCAGAGTGAGTTGGGGACCCGTGTAGAGCTCAGCACAGCATTCCATCCTCAGACCGACGGGCAGTCGGAGCGGACATTTCAAATTTTGGAGGACATGCTCAGAGCATGTGTGATTGGCTTTGGAGGGAAGTGGGATCAGTTCTTGCCTTTGGCGGAGTTTGCGTACAATAATAGCTACCAGTCCAGCATAGAGATGGCTCCATACGAGGCTTTATATGGTCGACGTTGTCGTTCTCCTATTGGATGGTTTGAGCCTGGCGAGGCTAAGTTATACGGTACAGATTTGGTACAGGATGCCTTGGACAAGGTAAAGTTGATCCAGGAAAGGCTTCGCACGGCTCAGTCCAGACAGAAGAGTTACGCGGATCAGAAGGCGCGTGATGTATCATTTATGGTTGGCGAGAAGGTCCTCTTGAAAGTCTCGCCAATGAAGGGTGTCATGAGATTCGGGAAGAAGGGCAAGCTCAGCCCAAGGTTTATTGGCCCATTTGAGGTGTTGAGGCGTGTTGGGGAGGTTGCTTACGAGCTTGCCTTGCCCCCAACTTATGAGTTCATCCGGTTTTTCATGTATCGATGCTTCGGGAGTATCACGCCGACTTTTCCCATGTGTTGGACTTTAGTACCATTCAGCTGGATGAGAGTTTGGGTTATAAGGAGGAGCCAGTTGCCATTATTGGTAGACAAGATCGCCAGTTGAGGTCCAAAAGGATTTCTGCGGTGAGGGTCCAGTGGAGGGTGGGCCAACCAGTCGAGGAGGCGACCTGGGAGTCCGAGGAGGACATGCGGAGCAGATATCCACATTTATTCAGCAGCTCAGGTACTTTTCTATGTCCGTTCGAGGACGAACGTTTGTTTAAGAGGTGGAGAATGTAACGACCCGACTGGCCGTTTTGACTTTTTGAACCCCGTTCCCTTAAATAAAACTTCCCGTGCTTGCTTTAGCTAATTTACAACTTGCGGGAGTGGTCGATTCGGGAGTTGGAAGAGTTTGGATTGAAATATGCACATTTGACTCCTTAGGATTTTCTTAAAAGGCTAAGTTTGACTTTGGTCAATATTTTGAGCAAACGAGCCCGGATTCATGTTTTGACGGTTCCGGAGGGTCCGCAGGAAAATATGGGACCTGGGCGTATGCCCAGAATCGAATTCCGAGGTCCCTAGCCCGAGTAATGAATTTTTATTAGAAATTATTAAACTGAAATTCTAAGGATTTAAAGAAACTAATTAATGATTGATCGCGTTGTTATTGGACTCGTATGTTGGTTTCGAAGCCACGTACAAGTCACATATAACATTTAAGACTTGCCCGCAAAATTTGGTGTCAATCCGAGTAGTTTAAGGGCGTTTTGGCCCGTTAGAGGAAAATTAAGAACTTGAAGTTCATAAGTTTGATTCAATTGGTTTTAGGGGGTGATTCTTAGATTTAGCGTTGTTACGGGCGTTCCGAAGGCTCGAGTAGGTCTGTTTCGTGATTTCAGACTTGTCGGTATGTTCGGGCGGGGCCCGGGAGCACCGAGCGTCAATCTGACGAGGCTCGAGTGAAGTTGAAATTTTTGAGAAGTGTTGAAGCTGCTGCTTCTGTCATAACCGCACCTGCGGTTGGTGGACCGCAGATGCGGTCCATCTATCGCAGATGCGGCCCAGGGATGGCCAGGCCAAACCGCAGAAGCGACTCTCGAACCGCAGAAGCGGCTTCAAGGCCGTAGATGCGGTTCCAGCCGCTTGGCCCGTTTTTGCAGATGCGCTCTACTCCTCGCAGAAGCGGGACCGCAGATGCGGTCCCTTGACCGCAGATGCGGAAATCGCTGAAGCAATGAGCTTCATTTAATACGGGTTCTAGGCCATTTTTACCACTTTTCACTCCTCCATTTGCGATTTTGGGAGCTTTTGAGAGAAGATTTCCACCTAGCATCTTGAGGTAAGTTATTCCCGCTAATTCTTGGTTTAATAATTGTGTCTTAAGTAGATTAAACACTAGAACTTAGGTAAAATCAAAGGGTTAGAGCAAAACCTAGGGTTTTGATAAAAGTTAAGTTTAACCACGAAATTTGTTATGAAATGAATTAGAAATCATATATTATTGATCCTTAGGTTGTAGAGAACAACTTTCCTTGGAAAATGTCAAAATCCGGGCACGTGGGCCCGGGGACGGATTTTAGGAAATTGTGTTTAAGGGTGGGAAATTGCTTAAATAGTTATAATATGATCTTGTAAGTTTGTGTTGACTAGTTCCTACCACGTTTATCTAGTTTTGAATTGTTCGGCTCCAAATTGAGGGTTCGGGCTCATTCTTGGTATTGGAAGTGCACTTTGAAGCGAGGTGAGTCTCCTTTCTAACGTTGTAAGAGGGAATTGTCCCCATAGGTGTAATAATTGAATTAATTGATACTATATGCGGGGGCTACGTACGCACTAGGTGACGAGAGTCCGTGCGTAGCTACTATTATGTTAAATCCGGGTCGTCTAGGACCCAAAAGCATGCTCTATGTGATATTCTTGTAACTCGATGATAAATTCGGATCTGTATAAATCATGTTGAGTAGGGTAAATGAGACTAGTAAGAGGAACCTTATCTTGCTTGACCTTTAAAAGAGAATTTGGATATTCCTGTGAATAACTACTCCTCGGATGTGCATTATTGTCTGCTTGTTGATAAGTTTATTTATATTTGACCGCGTCGCACCTGTGATTTGCGAGCGGGGTAATAGATGCATCTATGGTTCGTGCCGTTCGACCCTCGGCAGTGCACAATTTTCTTTTATGTTGGATCGGGCCGTACGTCCCTCGGTGTTGCTTGCGGATGTTTTACTTAGTATTCTTGTGGACTGAACTTGTACATGCCTTGAGATGTAATTGGTTACTTATTATATTACCTGGATAAAGGATTGATTCTCCTTGCCTCAAAAATGCTAATTTATAGTGTTATCCATGCTTAGTATAACTTCATTCACATATTATTTGACCCTAGTAAGTATCAAGTCAACCTCTCGTCTCTACTTCTTCGAGATTAGACGGGATATTTACTGGGTACATATTATTTATGTACTCATATTACACTTCTGTACTTAATTGTACAGGTTCTGAGGTAGGTGTCTCTGGCTATCAGACTAGGGCGTATCCCTGAGCAGATTTCGAGGCTTCCACGGTGAGCTGCTCCCCTTCTCATGTCGTTCCGCAGCCTGGAGGAGTCTTTCTTATTTATATTGCTGTCTATTCTATTCGGACAGTAGGGTAGTGTGATTCTTTTGTATATTCTACTAGTTGCCCACAGCTTGTGACACCAGGTCTTGGCACACACATTAGTAGACTATTATTTTGGATTTGTATTATCATTATTATTGGCTTTACTGATCCTTTCTGATTTTACTTCAACTTAAGGAATCATTGCAACTATTTTGGGTAAAAGTAAATTAGAATTTATTTAGTATTTTCTGCGTTGGCTTGCCCGACAACGGTGTTGGGCGCCATCATGACCTATTATGAAAATGGGTCGTGACAGCAAATGATCAAGATGGTCATAGGAATGAGGCATGTGCTCTATAAGAACACCACGACACAACAATTTATAAGACCTCATGTGGAGAGGCTCAGGTACCTGAAAATTATGAGATAAAGAGATCTCGATAAGTTATATTTTTATTGGAACCGATGTAGAAAGAGTGTCAACGTTATCTTTGATATAATATAGTGTAATATTATAAAAGACGACGAGGATCTTGAGCCCAACTTTATCATAGAATCTGGACAGATAAATGATTTTCTAAATAAAAAATACGCAATCAAGATTAGCTTCATTCGTAAAAAGTAAATTTTTTTAGGAATAGTCCTAACACCTGAAAGTATAAAGCCACTGGGAAATTTTTCGTAAATATCCTAGCATTGATTATATTGAGACATATTTTTCTATGGTGGATGCAATCACTTTCAGGTTTTAGTCTGGCAATACATAAAAATTTAATATGCATATAAAAATCCTTAGAGGATTTAAATTGTTCTGAAGCATATAAAGGTTCACACTAAATTTATTAAATAAAGTTTCAGAAACTCCTTATATGGATCAATGCAATCATGCCGTATATGATTTGTTTGTGTGCAATTGATGCACTTATGTATCTTGATAGAGCATGAGTATAATATTATACAAGTGAGATATAGTTTTACTCATTTTTTAGATATGAAACGCAATTAGTAGTATATTGCAAATGAAAACCATTAATATAGATTTGTTTATCCTAACAAATATTGTCAAGGTTTTATTGGTTATGAAAATGTAAGGCATTACATGAAGTTCATTCTTCAAATAATCTATTTGCACGTAAGGGTACTGTCATATTATGATATTCAACAAGGCAATCAATTATTGATATTTATTCAAGTCATACCAAGATACTAGCAACTTATAAACTTAATTGATAGAAGGATATATCGAAGGAGATATATAAAGCACATTTCACTAGCGTTCTTTTTGAGATGCATGATCTTCAACAGAGTGATGAAATTAGTATTCAACAAATTTGCTCATGCGATAATTTTGCTCATATATTTACTAAGGTATTGCTAATCTTAACATTTGAGAAGTTGAAATACAACATTAAAATGCATATTTCCGAGAAATAAAGTGATGTTTTTATTAGGGGGAGCCCAATACGCGTTGTACTTTTTTTCCCTCAGCTAAAGTTTTATCTTACTGGGTTTTTCTAGTAAGGTTTTTAATGAGGCAGCAAGCAATGCATATCAGATATGTGTACTCTTTTTTCTTCACTAGGGTTTTTTCCCACATAATTTTTTATCTAGTAAAGTTTTAACAAGGCACATTATCTATGGACATCCAAGGAGGATTGTTATGAAATACTAGATTATGGTGGATGTCTAGAACTCCTAAAGGAATAATAACCACTACTCTTCTCTATTATCTCGATAACTCCCACTACTTCAATACTTATGATTATAACTCTCATACCTCCATAACCTCACTCATGATCTTCCTACATGATATCAAATGCTTAAAGTTATGTTTATGACATTCTTTTGTATACCTTTGCGTAATATAAAAAATAATTAATGAGAAGTGATACTAAATACACTGAGAAATAATAAGAATTGTCTCTTCTCAATCTCTCTACATTCTTATCTCTTTCATTTCTTACTTTCATCTTTAATTTTTTAATCTTAATTTCTTAACACAACTTTCAAATATTTGAACAAACACAAGCGACATGTTAGGATGCAATTTTATGGTACCAAACTCAGTGACCGGTCCATTGAGTTTGAACTTGACTGTTGACGCGGGTCAACGGCCCATGATGACCTCTGTGGAAAAAGCCCCAAAAGATCCCCTTTTCCTCCCTGATTGTGGGATCATTTGCATCTATACCTATTTTTTGGGTCGTTTTAACTTATACTCGGCTTTGTAAAAAATTTTTGCATGCGTACTCACTTTTCGCGTAACTTTTGTTATACGGGTCTGAAGTAGCAAAGGCAATCACGCAAACTTCAACATTCTAGTAGACGGGCCTGAAGTAGCAAAAATTGCTGAACCAAGTGTTGGCTGAAATTTTTGTTTGTAATTGCTGAACTTAAGAATTCTAGTGGCTGAAGTTTTGTTCTCTATTTGCTGAACTTCAGCATGTGTTAGCTGAAGTTTTGTTCTATATTTGCTGAACTTAAGCATGTCTTAGCTGAAGCTTTGTTATGTTTTGATAAACTTTAGGGATGAAGTTTGTTTTGTATTTGCTGAATTTCAGCATTCTAGGAGCTGAAGTTTTGTTTATATTTGCTGAACTTCAGCATTCTTAGAGCTGAAGTTCTAAAACAACAATGACAAGTAAAAGTAATACTCCTATAAAACAAGAGCTTTAGTAAAAGTAATTCACCTAATGCACAGGGAATCAAGTCGTGCTTTCATGTTTTAGTAGCAATTAAAATTAAAATTTCCGAACTGGACGGTCCAGAAGCTAATTTGCTAAAATAACAAATATAGGTTAGACTAGAACACAACAATATCTCAATCTTCAGCTTTCAGAAAATGAAGGAGGAGGAGAAAATAGAAACAGGCCTGAAATAATTTAAACAGTAGGTAGAAGTTAAAACTTTTTAAAAAAGTGGAAATAAATTAAATGGGGGCGACCAAATAGGGTGCTCGTGCAATTTTTACCTAATTGTGGAAGAGACTCTAAAGCCCGAAATTATGTTGACCACGAAGCCCAAGTCAACGGGTCTCTTGCTTATATATTGTGGGAACCCGGGAAATGAGAATACTCGTTTCAGCTGATTTCCCAATTTTTTTAATTTTATTGTAATATCTTTATGCTAACTGTTATTCTAGCACAGAATCTTGAATTTCCTTTGTTTTGTGTATGTAATTCTGAAGATGGATATTTTTTGTGTGTGTAGGAACGACAGATGTCAAAATCTGGGACATTTGATCTGGCTTCTGGGGTTGGTGGCAAGATTGAGAAGAAAGAAGTACTTTCAGCTTTTGAAAAGTAAAATTTCATTCCAGATCATACTTTTTGTTGCTTCAAATTTAATGTTGATTCTTAAATTTCAATCATTCACTGCTTATTTAGTGCTGAAAATGGTTTTATTCCATCTCATCCTGTCCAGTTTAAGTACTTAAATAAATATGCCTATTGTTGCATTTCCTTTATTTCAAACTTTCTTATAGTATTTTGTATGATCAGTTTTATTAATTGTTCAAAGAGAAAAGTTAATGCACAATCTTCACTGATATTATCCTGAGCCTGAAAAATTCACAGCTTTAAATAGTATGTACTTTGTATTTTATTTTGCAACCTATTTCTCTTTTCATTTTAATAGGCATGTGGATTTTCTTTTTGCGCATGTATTAGTGAGTTATAAATTACTTTAGGTACGAAAAATATCATGCATGTGATGGAGAAGCGGAGGAAGAGCGGAAAGCCAACTACATTGATATGGTAAGATTTGAGATGATATAATCAAACAGTTAAAGAACTAACGGCGGAGCCAAAAAAATTTAACAAGGGGATTAAAACTATAAGAATATCACACCTGAAATTTTGAACCCCCTTTACCACTATTCTAGAATCTTTCTGTATGTCAAGGTTATTCAACAATCCATATATATATATATATATAGGCTTAATTTCGGACGAATGGAATTCAATTGAACCCCCTCGCGTCAATCTAGGTCCGTCCTTCGCCCATTGCTGGTAGGATTTTGATATTCTATTGATAGTTTAGGCATGCCTATCCCATTTGTGGCTTTTCTATCTGACTTCAATTATCCAAAAACTCAGTAGTTAATTCATAATAAATGTTCTTTGTTTACAGGTTAACAAATATTATGATCTAGCAACAAGCTTTTATGAGTATGGTTGGGGTGAATCTTTCCATTTTGCTCCCAGGTAGGTACTCCACTGGTGTATTGTTCTCTTCTTTCACTTTTGGTTGGAAATCCATGATAATTAGCAAAAGAGGACTAGTAATTATTGTATCTTCCTTGTTATAACAGATGGAAAGGGGAATCACTTCGAGAAAGTATCAGACGACATGAACACTTTCTTGCTCTGCAATTAGGGCTAAAGCAAGGACAAAAGGTCTACTTCATCGTATTATGGATGTGTTCTTTTTCTGCTACTCTCTCCTTTTCTTGTGTTGGTTTTGGTTCAAGTCGGTCAGCCAGGTCTCATTTGGCAAGTGGTAACATGAAAAGAATTCCTTGTTTCATTGACAGGTTTTGGATGTTGGATGTGGAATTGGTGGCCCTTTAAGAGAAATTGCCGGATTTAGGTAAAAGTCAGCTCTGTATTTCATAGCGGCTATTAGAATAGTATGAATTACCATTGCTCAAGCATGTGTCTTTATCTGAAAATCTAGTCATACTCTTCAGCTGAGAATGTTTGTATATATATCTTGACAGCTTGAAATCGTTTTTGTTTTGTATCCCATTTCTTCATCCTTTATTAGTAGTTTGTTGTTTGCTTTATTTTAAGTGTCCAAGTTGTGATGTAGAAGAGCTGAATCCTTGGTTCCTCCTAGCATCCGAACTATGGAAGATTATAGGACCACATAACATCTATTTACAGCTTGTTGTTATCCATTTGGCTGCTATTTCAAAGCCATACCTAATTCAAGAGTTATTATTTAGTTGGCTTCACCTGGGATGTGCAAATAAAAAGGAGAAAAAAATACTTAATATACATTTACTGTTTAATAGCTTCACGAAGACACCCTAAGCACCAATCAATTATCACCATATCTTACATGGTCTATCTCTCATTAAATCAAAGGAAAGATATTATTCTTTTCTTTTCCTATCTTGCGTCATCTAAATGACTATGTTGGACTAAATCTAACATACTACCGACTGGAAATCACTAAAATAATTTTGATGCTTAAAATTCAAAGTTTGAACTCCTCCCGTCACACTTAAGTTGATATGGGATCTTTTAAGCATTATTTGGCATGGAGGAGGATTCTTTATTGGTAGTACTCTAGCGAATGCTGCTTAGTTTTGAAAAGAGGTTTGAAGAAAACTAATAGTCCTGCCTTCTAGCCACGTGCTACAGGAAATGCTCTAGCTAGTAGGGAAGAGCCCTTCTCTTTCTCAATTACTTACCTTTGGGGCTAAAACAGATCTACAGTACAAAGTGTTACTAGTATTATTCTTTTTAACTGTTGTGTAAGTTTGTCCATTTCCACATGGCTATCTGATATTATTTACCTTTTATAGCGGTACATATGTTACTGGAATCAACAACAATGAATATCAAGTAACACGAGGAAAAGTAAGTATTTTTTGTGAGTATGCGTGTGTGCTCAACTTTATTTTTTTATTTTATATTGGGGGAGTGGGGGTGGGTGGACAGAATTTAGGGATTTTCCATCCACTGAAGTACTGTACCAAAAGTCACTTGCATGGCGATATAATAGTTTTTGTTCTTTCTCATTTATTATTATCTTAGTTGTGCTTGAACTGGATTTCAACTATTGTATTGGTTGCTTTGCAGGAACTGAACCGTATTGCAGGAGTTGACAACACCTGCAATTATGTGACGGTAATGTGACTGTTTTTGTTTTTTATTCTACTGTCAAAGAGTAGTATTTTTTCTTCTCATCGCACTTCATTGTCAAAAATGTAGGCCGACTTCATGAGAATGCCATTTGCTGACGACAGTTTTGATGGAATTTTTGCCATAGAAGCTACATGTCATGCCCCAGATGTGGTAAGCACTTGCAGAACATTTACTGGCTTTTTTGTGAATTTTCTCTAGATCTCTCTGATTCACCTGAATATTAGAACCTATAATTGATCGTTTTCAGTTTTCACAACATGTTGTGGATGACTAGTTTGATTGCTACAAGGAAATATTCAGAGTGTTGAAGCCTGGCCAATACTTTGCTAATTATGAATGGTGTATCACCGATTTCTTTGATCCTAATAATGCAAATCACCGGAGGATCAAGGTATCCAATCTTCTTATACTCAAATTTCTTATCTCTTTATTGTGCTGCTAACTCCATGCTTAGATCATATAAAACAGCGTCAGGTGGAGCTTGGTAATGGACTTCCTGACATCAGATCGATGGGACAGTGCATTGAAGCTCTGAAACATGCAGGTTTTGAGGTGAGCTTCTTATCTTGTGAACCTCTATTTTTAACAGTATTTGAAACCTTTATTATTTTATTCTATGATCAGATAGCACATTTTTTCTAGTTTTTAAACCATAACATAAGCTTTGCTTCAACTCATTCCCTTGAAACATCTTAACATATCCCACTTACCTGGGGAATATTAGCGTCCTCTTATCCAAAACTTTGGTCTTCCTTGTCAGATTTCTTGTTTACAGTTTGCTATCTTATTCATAACATGACAGGGGAAATAATGTATAGCATGAATTTGATGTGTTTTAACATCTTCTTTGTTTGTATTTCCACTTCATGCAAAAGATTATTTGGGACAAGGATATTGCTATCGACTCTCCTCTCCCTTGGTATTTGCCTCTGGACAAAAGTCATTTCTCCTTAAGCAATGTACGCGTGACAGTTTTTGGACGCTTTTTCACCAGAAATATGGTAAGATCACAAGTTTTTGATTTTATGATTGTTGTTTTCCAATTATGATTTATTATTTAAAAGATTTTGTTACATTATTTTCATCTCTTTAGCTCATTAATGGTTAACCCTTGACTTTAAGGAAATGTAATGTCGTCAAATTATTGAACTTGCCTGGATTTCATTCTGTTTAGGTCAAGATATTAGAGCGAGTCGGGCTCGCCCCTGAAGGAAGCCAAAAGGTTCAAGCCATCCTGGAGCAAGCTGCAGATGCACTTGTTGAAGGTGGAAAGTAAGTGAGACCTGCTTGCTTTCTTTACTTTGTTTTCATCTTATTTATCAAATAGAAGAAATTGAACACTCTAGAATTTTTTTTAATTGAAACTATCATTAACTGAATGGACAGATTGATCAATGGTATGACAACTAGACCTTTGACGACCTAAAATAAATGTCTCCAATAGAATGGAAATTAAGTAGAGGCCGCAGGGAAAAATGCTTTGGAATACTGCAGTTTATAAGTAATTCTTTGACATGCAATGGCTTGTTTCCTTCCACTTTATCTGAAAATCTGGCTAAGTACCCTACAATACCCCAGATAGATGCTGAAGCTAAATTAGTCCTTTTGACAACTTATCTGGGTTAAGGATAAGCTTGTAATTTGTATCCAATATAAGCTAATTATTATCCAGTTTGGTGCAATTTTTGACAATGAATTGTATAATTAAGTTGTTAGCTTTATATAAATGATAATATACAAACTCGTTCAGCAGTGTCTTTCACTTGTAGATCATTTGCCTTAATGATATAACTAATTCTGTCAAGCTACTGCACGGCCTATAATTTATTCAAGTAGATAAGTTATTTCACGCGTTTTACCCTAGTGATCAATTCTCAAATTTGTTAGCCATACGAATAATGCCAACTGTGATGTAGGTTGTTGAACTGACTCTATAGTGAGGTAATCAACCTTAAATCTGGTTGCAGTTTGTAAATGCATATTTCTTTAAAATGTTGCTCCCAATAGTAATCCTTTCAACAATTTGGGTTGATGCAGGGAAGGCATTTTCACTCCAATGTATTTCTTCTTGGCAAGGAAGCCTTCTGCCAACTGATCTCTTAAGCTAATTCTTCCTCAATACAGTAAAGATTACATATATAATGTCCATTGAATTGGAATATTTTGAGTCTGTGAACTGGCTTTTCAATTTGCTTTTATTTTTTCACCCCTTTATCTCGGTTTTTCTCACTTTTTTGGACGGGTGGAGGAGGGTTGGCACGGGACAGTCAATAAACAAAAAGAAATGGAAGTAAAGATCCTTGAGGAAGCAAGATCAGTCATATGACAGATCATATAGAGTATATATTTTTTTCTTTCTGGGTTTGAGAACACGAGCTGCTTTTGAGTTTTTAATTAAGAATGCTGGAGTTCCACGAGTGTATGGAATTATGGATGACAACAAAGAACGACTTGTGTTTGCTTGTATTTCAGGGGATAGAAGTTATTTTCTTGCATGTGAACGATCTGATCAGACGGACTTCATCCTAATTAGTGGAAAAGTTTTTATTTTACTAGTACGAAATGAGCGCATTTATTCTTTACAAATAAAATAGACCCTAAAATTTATCCTTAAGATACGCTTCTTATAGATAACATATGAAAACGAATATTATCCCTTCATATCTTGAATTAATGCGAAGAAAGATCACCTTATTAGTTAAAATCTTGCAGGCAAGCTTTAGAACCAAATGAATCCAGAGGCAACAAACTCGCAGACAAAAGTAAAGAAAATAACCCACACAAAACATAAAAGAGAAATATTGTTTCATTAACATACATAAACAGAGATAGTAGTAACAAACTTTCCAACATGTCAAAGGGCCATTTCTCTACCAGAGTGTAAGAGATACAAAACAACTCTGCATTTTGCGTGGATAAGTTTGGTAACAATGGGCATACCTGGTTCAAGAAGCTGGGGAGCTAAACTTTTAACTTCTTCTCATTAATATAATCATTCGAGTGGTTTTGTATATTTTGCACCCTCCCTTGTACAAAAACTGTTTACTCAAGATGAATAAGTGACTTGATAAAAAATCTTTTTCAGAGCTGTCTACTTCTGCTTGTTATCTGCAGCAAAAAGTGAAAGATCAAAAGTTGCTAAAACAAGCAGAGAGAGTTCTGCCACCATAACAAGTTTCCGTACAAGGATAATGCAACAAAACCTTCATCAAGAAAAATAAAGTGCCGATACATTTTTAGATCTGATCTTTCCGGTGCTTGTGATTTATGACAGATGAACATTATTGAAAAGGCAAAGAAAAAGAAGTAGCAATTCATGTTTAATACTCCCGCCCTCATTTCCTAATAGACGAATTAACCCAAATTGCAGCCTATCTAACTGGTTAAACTAAAAATAGCCGGTGAAGGTATAATATATGTATAATTTATGTATTATATGTATATAGTTGTGTATAATCAAAGTATAATCTATGTATATGGCTAGAAAAAGTAAACAATAAATGTGGCCGGCAAATTGAAAAGGGAAAGAAAAAGAAGTAGCAATTCAAGTTTGATACTCCACCCCCATTTCCTAATATGTACAAGAAATATCAAATATTTAAATAAATTTGAATTCCTCCGAGTAATGAGTCATATAGAATAACATTATTAGTAAAGAACTTCAAGTATTCCGGACCGTCCTAGAATGAAGGTATTAAATTGAGACATAGGAACAGATATCCGTAGATTCGTTATACGAATAACTGGTCAAATTCATTGTTTACTTTTTTTAATCAGTATATATAGATTATACATTGATATACATAATTATACATATATTATACATAAGCGATTAAGTGGATTGCTATTTGGGTTAATTCTTCTTATATTTACTACAACCAACCTAAGTTTGACGCTTTATTTAGTACAAATCGTTCTTCGTCCTAATGACACAAGTTTAAAATTTAACTCCAATTATGTTTAAATAAAAAGTGGTCGCAAAAGTGAATAGAAAAAAACTTCGAAGAAAATAATCATTTGTTTTTAAGGTGGATATTCTAAAAAATAAGACATGTGCTGAATATTACAAGGAATAAAATACTCCTTCAGGAAAAGTAGCCATTTTTACATCAACCTGAACAAGAGTAAACCATAACTAGATTAAAAACTCAATTATATCCGCTGAATTTTACTGGCTCCAATCAATCAACTTTTTCACATTACTAACTACACATTTATTTGATGTTGGCTTCTAAATGATTGTAAATGGACGTATTTTATATTGTTAGTCTCTAAAACTCAAAATGGTAAATTAAAAAGAGCTGGGCAAAAAAAATTTGAAAATAAAAAAAGCTCTACCTTTAGTCTTTACGGCCCCAAAAAGAAAGAAAAAACGAAAAAAGAATCACCAACACAGCAATAGCAATGGATAGTTTCATTTTCATCTTAAACTAATGGAGTAACTACTAGATTATTTCTAAAAGATAGTGCATCATTGCTTACTTGCTGAAATAGCCACGTAAATATAGGGATCTGAGCGACCCCCTTCCCCTGACCTCTTCACCTTTCCTTGCTTCAGCAACCTGCATTTGGATCAATCCTTCATAAATCCAATACCAAAAATAGCAGGTTAATAACCATTTAACCCTTCATTCCAAACTTTATATTTTGGAACGTTTAAAAGGTATTTCATATCATTATACTAATAATAATGTTGTGACTACAACTTTTACTATCTTTAAGATTTTGAATTTATTTAACTATACAAAAAATTGATATGATATGTTTTTATAGTAAATTTACAAATGGGTGTTTTTTCCTTTCTGGGGTTTAAATCTCATTCAGAACGATACTAATGAGAGAGAGAGGAGGGTGGTTCACATTCTTAAGGCTTTGCTGGTATCAGGGCTATTGCCGATCAGCTGGCGAATCCTAACTTCAGAAGCGGATTCGTGAGACAAGACCCTGAGGATGGCTTCAGCTCGGCGGCGTATGTAAGCCGGTGCAATATTCGGCTTGAACTCGTTAGCCAACAATCTGTCTCTCTTCCCCCGACCCATTCTATCCCGCGAAGTGAAGATGCCGCTGGAGACAGAGTCAATGGACACACACGACGAAGATGAAGCTGTTATTTTACTCGCATCAGAATCTGAGGCCGAAACCTTAGTAGACCTGCAGAACTTTGTCAGAGAAGTGGATACTTCTGACTTGCTTGAGCTAATTTTCCGGCAATTGGAAATACAGAAGCTCTTCGATCGTCGCTGTCTCACAACCTGCAAAAATTCGCCAATGTAAATTCAAAATAAAAAAATCTGGTTACCATATTTTGATTGAAAGAGAAGAGAAATTTAACACGAAACTGAATTGTAAACTCTTCTACAAGGTAATAAGAGTTGATAAAACGAATTTGGTATTAGAATAATCATTATTCTCATAAACGTTGAAATTCAGAAGATCTAGAGAATACGGAATAAGCATCATATAATTCAAATCCAAAAACTCAGAAACAGAGTAATGAAACTCAGTAAACTAGAAGAACGAAATTCAAAATCAGAAGTCATATGATATATGAAACTCAATTAGCGCTACTGAAAATAGCTTTACCAATACATCGTATGGATAAGTACTCATCCTAATCGTAAACGCAAATCTGACAGATTGTTTTATCAGAAACTGCAACTGAACTCATAAAAATTGTAAAATCAAACAAAGCTCGTAATCACGTTTTACTTCACGCTATACGAGTTCCACAGGATCATATCTAGTTGAGTTTATGAATAGGTAAGCAATTTTCGATCTAGATTAGACCTCAATCTTCTTCAATATGAAATTTCCAGTAGCTTATATCAGAGCTATAGCATAATCTAGACTGGAATTCAACGAAAACAAAAGCATAACAGCAGTAAAGGAGCAAATTTATTAACTCCTTCACCTTAGGCTTCATTATAGTCTCACGAAACGCAGCAATCATCTTCGTACGATGAGATTGTGATCTATCCTCCGGGAACGAGACATCAACAGCGGTCACAATTGACGAATCCGAGGATTTGCTTTTCGAAGTCGAAGTTGTATTACTCAGCGCTACCTTGTGTGAAATCTCAGTTATGCTATTGCTTCTGCAATACTCAGAAGAAGACAGACTGATGATCAGTGATCAGCAAACACTGTAATTGAAAATGTTAATGCAAATGAAACTTTGAATTGAATTGTTGTTTGAGTTTCGATTAATTGGTCTTACTTTGAAAGAGGAGATGGAGATATGGCTGAGAGAAGGAGAAGAGCAGAAGCAACTTCACGTTCACCTCTACTGGGAAATGCTTCTTCCATTGTTCCTTCCAGAACGTTGTTTTTGTTTTCTCCGTTTCTTTTTTGAAAATGGCGCGATGATATGGGAATTATTTGAATTTTGGTCTAAAGCTTTCGGAGCTATATGAGTGAGCTTTTGCAGTTTCAGATATTTGGATCCAAGATTGTTACTGAATTTGGGTTAGGCCCATATAATTACTAGATTACGCCCGTAGACCTGTTTTTGCAATTTTCGCTTAATTTTCCCCTTCTCTTTTTTCTTTTTCTTTTTCGGGATCTTACACAAAAAGCCACAATTATACACTTATTATACATGTATTATTGTTGGGTCCAAACGCACACAAGTATACGTGTGATAGAAGGCTATAATTATGTAATTTATTCGCTTATCGCACTCTAATTTACTGCACTTTAATTGAGTTTGAGCTTTAATCGCTAGTGTTTTGCACTAATTATGTATTTTATGCCTTGTAGGAGTGATTCAGAGTGATGTAAATGTTATGAAGCTAATTCGAGTTATTTGGAGCTTTGAAGTCTGAGTAGAAGCCCAAAGGATTAAGCCGGGATCGCGTTCGGGGATCAACGGATGATAGTGCACTTTAAGAACGAAACAAAGAATCGAGCAGGCATACTGCGCATTGTCCAGTAAAATGCACATAACTTTTCGCTCAAAAATCCGTTTGGGCTCCACAATTTATCGTTGGAAAGCTATTTAAAAGGGCTACAACTTTCATGTTTTACATTTTTCCAAATTCCCATAGCCGCAGGCCGTAGCGCGTGGGGCGGCGCGTGGCGCGCTGCGGCTGCCTATTTTGCTCCTGCCTCGAAATTGCAAGGTTTTCCTATTTCACGCGGGAGAAGGTATTTTCGTTTTGGCCCGACCTTACTTGGTATAAATACATGTAAAATATCATTTTGATGAACATTTGACATACTTTAGACCTAGGGAGAGCACACACCATGCTTGGAGGAGGCTTCTAACTAGTTTTTCTTCTCTTCTCTTCCTTTAATTTCATAGTTCATTAGTTCTAGAGTTTTGGGTGTTGTATGAACGTTGTAGTTTGAAGCTTGAATTGTTCTTATTATTTTATCATATTGGTTTATTTATTCAATCTTGCACCTAATTATTTGATTACCTGATCACCAATTGAATACTATTTACGAATCTAGAATTGAACTCGGGAGAGGGAATTCTAGATTGCAAATAAGATTGAGTAGAGCAAGATTTTGAGC